GTGCGCTGTGCCAGTCGCGTGCTGTTAGTGTGTGCGGTCTTGTCACCCCCGACCCCCCGCGCCGCCCGCGCGCGCGCGCTTCGTGTGTAGTGCGTGTGTGTGCCCCTCACCGCTGTACTTCGTCCGCTTGCCCCTGTCGTGTGCCCTGCTCGTCGCTCCCCCCCCCCCGTCCGTCCCCCTGTGGGTGTGTGTTGTGTGCTGCTTTGTGCGTGTGTAACTGTCGTGTGTGTGTGTGTGTTTGTGTCCGTTGCGTGTGGGTTATGTCGTGTGTGTGTGTGTTTTGTGTGTGCTGTGATGTGTGTGCGTGTGTAATTGTGTTGTCGTGTGTGTGTGTGTGTGTGTCGTGCGTGCTGGTGTATGGTGTGTGATGTGTGTGTGTTGTGTGGTTTTGTTGTGTGGTGTTGTTTGTGTGTAATGTGTTGTGTGTGTCGGTGTTGTTTGTGTGCGTGCGTGTGTGTTTCATGTGTGTCGTGTGTTGTGTTCCGTGTACTCTTTGTCTGTGTGCTTATCTAATCTTAACAACGCCCTGGTAAGGCGTTGTACGTTTGCAGTCCGTGGTCTCCGCCACGCTGAGATGTTTCATCGATACGCAGGTTGACCGGTGCAGGAGCGAGTTTGGCTTGACGTCCGCTCAGCAACCGATCGGCTCCGGTCCCTCCCATGCCGGCTGCCCGTGACACCATCGGCTCAGCCGTAGACTGGCCCGCACATGCGCGCCCCTGACCAGTCCCGCAGCGCCAGCACACGCGTCCACTTCCCGCCCCGAATGTTCGTTTCTTCCCGCCACACCCACACCCTGCGCGCCGGATCTGGCAAAGCGCGCCGACGGCTGTCCGTGAGGCTCTTTGACACTCCGCTAGGCCTGTTCGAGATCCTCTAGCTCGGCTCGACCCCTGGTCACAGATCTCTTAGAGGTCGCGCCGTCCATTGGCGTCATGGTCCGCCCCATCGCCTCGACCTGCGTCACCAGGCCGTCTACTAGCTCCACCTTACGCGGCCTACACCTGGCGCCTCCACGGGTCGCGAGTCATAGGTCCATCTACATGCACCCGCTCACAGGTTGTAGATGTGAGGTCATGGGTCATAGCTGTGAGGTCACAGGTTGTAGAGGTCATATGTCACAGTTATTGAGGTGACGTCGGGGTCATGTAATATGGTGGGTTCGGGAGGTGGGCATGCACTGTGTACTGTGAAATTGTGGGAAATTAATGTAATCTAAAGCGTTGTATTACAGTGACGTGTACAGGCCATAAAGGGTATTTAGAAAGAGAGAGAGAGAGAGAGAGAGAGAGAGAGAGAGAGAGAGAGAGAGAGAGCGCGAAAGCGGTTCTATGTAGCCACATAATGAAATCTACACCGCCAATAAATTAATTTAATCTGGTCTTATTGACACCCATAAAAATCTCTACAAATTGACGTCGGCGTGTAGATGCACTTACAGAGCCCCCTGTTCGCGGACAGCTGCACGCTCTGCAAGGACTGACGCGCTGCGTTGTTCCGGCTTGTACCATGACGCCGTCTACGTCACAGCTTGTCGATTCTGTCCAGTACTTGAGGTTGATGGTGCCCAAAGAGCTGCAGCTGATGCGGGCGTTACTGCAACACGCACACACACACAGCGCAACTATTAGCTACAAATACATACAACAATATTACTACAATAGACCAATATTTACATAGTTTACATGTGGTATAAGAACCCACCGCTAGACGCCGCTACCGTATACGGAGTTCACATAATTATTTACTAGGCTTATTACTTTATTATGGGGTTAGCGTTACGGCCAGAAGTAAAGGTTTAGGGTTAGGGTTAGTGTTAAGGGTTTAGGGTTACAATTAAAGAGTAAGAGTTTATGATTAGGGTTAGCGTTAAGGGTTTAAGGTTACAATTAGGGTAACAAGGGTTTAAGGTAACAGTTAGGAATGAGGCTTTGAGGTTAGTGTTGAGGATTTAGGGTTAGGTTAAGAGTCAGTGTTTGGTGCTTGCGGTGTAAGGTTATGTTCAGTGGTAGATTAGGCTTAATGCTGTTCAGCGGGGTCAAGGTTAGTAGTAATATTTACCAGACTATGGTCAGTGTCAAGGGTTTAAGGTATAGCTAGGATTAAGCTATTATTATTAGGGTTATCTATATATGTGGCAGTAGCAGCGGCAGTAGCAGTAGCAGTTGTCGTTCAGGGTTATGATTGGGGTTCAGCTTTTATGATCGGGGGTATCTAGATATACGTATTAGTATTAGTAGTACTTACAGTACATCGTCCGGCATTGACATGACGTTCGGGTGGATGGTAGGAATATTGTCGCTGTTATCGCATATAACTTTGCCAAATGTCACCTTGCGGATTTCCCCGAGTTGAGCTGTTGACAACAACAATATAGGCTATGTAGAACAACAAAATGTACACGAGGTCACGTCAAACAGCAGCTTGCAAAGTACAATGTTTAGTAAAAAAAGGCGTGAAATCATACACAACTGTCCGTGTATATAGCGGACAGTTAATTGGTGTGAAGCCACACACACTTGTACAGGTGTGTAACAGAGACTTAGGTTGTGTGAGGTCATGTCATACGCAACCTGTACAGGTGTGTAGCGGAGACAGACTTACCTGTCGTAAAACCATGTCATACGCAACCTGTACAGGTGTGTAGCGGAGACAGACTTACCTGTCGTAAAACCATGTCATACGCAACCTGTACAGGTGTGTAGCGGAGACAGACTTACCTGTCGTAAAACCATGTCATACGCAACCTGTACACACAGGTGCTGTAGAGGAAACAGACTTGACCTAGCGTGAGCGTGCGATCAGGTTGGACGTCTCGTACCAGTAGCGGTCGCACTGCCGCAGCTCTACGGAACTGTTCGCGCGATGATGCAGCCGAACGTCGGCCCGATGAGAAGCGCCAGGCAGCGGCCGCTCCGGTCAATCCCTCCCGTGAACAAGATCCTATATCGTCGACGTGGCTGCGTCATAGTTCAGCCCGAGGTCAGAATACAGGAAGCGAGCACCCGACCGCAAGGTCAGGTCAGGACGTGAAACAAAAGCCGTAAGAGGGGGGGGGCAACGTTCCGCGCATGGTCAAACGCTGAACATTTTGGGAACACCAGTTTTTTACAACAAATTAACGTGTCACGCTGTCTGCCGTACGTGCGTACAGCAAAGAAGAGAGAGAGGAAAGAAATCGACGCGGTTACGTCAGAGGTTTTCAATACTGCAAGAAGTTACGTACGTCACCATGCACGGCTGCGTTGCCATAAGTTACAGCTATATATATATAATCGTGTGTTTATTTATCACTTATATTTATAGAGAGAGAGAATTAAAAACATACGAAACACCACATGCCGACATTGATAAAGAATAATATAAATATAACAATAGAATGACGTGGGCAATTTTTTTATTTGGCAGCTTTCCAGGACTAAGAGTCTCTTTGTCAGGATAACCAACAATAGAATGTTGTTCACGAAGCAGTTTTTACTTCTGGAAGCCAGACGAAGGAGAATGTGCCCTCGAAAAGTTTTTTGCAAAATCGAAACCTAATTCAATTTTGAATATATATATATATATAACTATTATACTTACTCGTAGACGGAGGCGGAGTTTGTTTCGAGTGTTCTCGTCGTCTATCTCGTCCCCCTCGAGGCAGGAGAAGACGTCGCCTTCCTCAAACCACAAAACTCACGCCCTATAATGAGGCAGGAAAAAGCCGATGTAGATTTTTGCATGTCCAGCTTGTTATATTCTTATTCTACAATATAACATCTGATCAGAGTAGAATAATCATTTACTTTATCCTACTTTACTCCTGATTCATATCACATTACGATTAACGCATTAATTCATATAAATAAACAGATAACGTATATAAATAAATAATGATGATCGATGATTTGACACGATCAAATACACATTTGCGACGTATGCGTGCGTGTGTGTGCGCGCAGTGTGTGTATGTGTATAGTGTGTGTGGCGCGTAATATATATATATAATATATATATATATATATATTATATTTTATTTATTTATTTATTTATCATATATATATAATTTATATATTTGCGTGTGTAGTCCGTAGTGTGTGTGTGTGCGTAGTGTCAGTGTGTGTGTGATTGATGTCCGTGCGTGTATGTTGTATGTGTATGTGTGTGTGTGTGTCGTGTGTTGTGTGTGCGTGTGTAGTGTGTGTGATTGTGTCCGTGCGTGTATGTGTATGTGTGTGTGTGTGTGTGTGTGTGTGTGTGTGTGTGTGTGTGTGTGTGTGTGTATGCGTGTGTAGTGTGTGTGTGTGTGTTGTGTCCGTGCGTGTGTGTGTGTGTGTGTGTGTGTGGTGTGTGTGTGTGGTGTATGTATGCCTGCGCGCGTGCGTGCGTGTATTTGTCTGTGTGTCACATCTAATCTATAAACTCACCTGTAGACGTTGTAACAGTGTATGTGTGCGCGCGTAATATATATATATATAATATATGATATGATTATATATATTTATTTATTTATGTTTATTTTATTTAATATATATATATTTATTTATTTATTTATTTATATATATATATATATTTATATATTTGTGTGTGTAGTCCGTGTGTAGTGTGTGCGTGGCGCGCGGCGCGCGTGTTGTGTGCGTAGTGTGTGTTGTAACTGTGGTGCTGTGTGTTAGTGTGGTGTGTCGTGGTGTGTTGGTGTGTGTGTGTGCGTGTTGTAATAGTGTGTGGTGTGTGTGTGTTTGTGTCCGGTGCGTGTGTGTGGTAATGCTGTGTGTGTGTGGTGTGTGTGTGTGTGTAGTGTGTGATGCGTGTGTAAATGTGTGTGTGTGTGTGTGTGTTTGTGTCCGCTGCGTGTGTGGTATGTGTGTGTGTGTGTGTGTGTGGTGTGTGTGTGTGTGTGTGTGTTTGTGTGTATGTTGTGTGTGTGTGTGTGTTTGTGTCCGTGCATGTGTGTGTATGTGTGTGTGTGTTTGTGTCCGTGTATTTGTCTGTGTGTTACATCTAATCTATAAACTCACCTGTAGGCGTTGTAGCCGTTGAGTCCGTGGTCTCGCCCACGCTGGATGTTCATCGATACGAGGTCTAGACCGGAGCGAGGTTTGCTGACGTCCTCGAACAGATGGTCCGTCAGCCGGTCAGTGACGAATCGGTCAGCAGACTGGGCGAACATGCTGACCAGTCCCCGCAGGAGAGCGTCCACTCCCCCGAAGTTGTTTTCCGACAACACCTGCGCGCGGATGGCAAAGCGGCGACGGTGTCGTGAGGTTTGATGTAGCTGTGAGATTATAGCTGTGAGGTCACAGATTCTAGAGGTGAGGTCATGGGTCATGGATGCGAGGTCACAGGTCATAGATACGAGGTAATGGGTCACGGGTGCGAGGTCATAGGTCATAAATGCAAGGTCACAGGTTGTAGATGTGAGGTCATGGGCCATAGCTGTGAGGTCACAGGTTGTAGAGGTCATATGTCACAGTTATTGAGGTGACGTCGGGGTCTGTATATGGTGGGTATCGGGAGGTGGGAGCATCATGTGGTACTGTGGAAATGGTGGAAATTATGTAAATCTAAAGCCGGTGTAACAGTGACGTGTACAGGCTAGGTATTTATGTATGGTGGCGCGTACATGCTATACGGCGACATATATGAGGTCGCGTGTCCGCACAGCTTTACCTCTCAGCTTTCTACAGTGTGTGTATACAAGTATCATCTAATAGCGATGTAACAGTGGCGTGCACATGCTAGGCATATCATAGATCATAACACATCTCTCGTACCCCCTGCTAGCTAGCTATACCGCGGTGCGTACCAGATCGTGTGTCTATCTGCACAGCTTTAATATAGCATCTCAACCTGCTAGCTAGCATAATACGCGCGGTGCGTAACCAAGAATCACACATGTGTCTATCTAGCACAGCTTATAATTACTCTCAAACTGATAACTAGCTATACGCGCAGCGCGTACCGAGAATGTGTGTTCTATCTTCTGCAAACAGCCTTTAAATTACATCTCACCTGCTAGCTAGCTATACCGCGGTGCGTACCAGATCGTGTGTCTATCTGCACAGCTTTAATTACATCTCACCTGCTAGCTAGCTATACCGCGGTGCGTACCAGATCGTGTGTCTATCTGCACAGCTTTAATTACATCTCAACCTGCGAGCTAGCTATACCGCGGTGCGTAGCAGATCGTGTGTCTATCTGCACAGCTTTAATTACATCTCACCTGCTAGCTAGCTATA